TAAATTACTTTCTTTAATTGACCAGGCCATTGGTTTTTTATTTATATGAACAAAGTGTGACTGTGGGGGCTTGTATTTTTTTTTTCTAAACTAAAATCCCATCAAATATATCAGGGATCTGTTTAATACAGCCAGCATAATTCAAGGCCACGTCTTCTTAGTATCATCAGGGAACTGCATCTTCAATCAACTTACGTACTTGTTGTGGCCCATCCTTCCATTCCAGATGATATGGTGGATTTTGTGAGTCAAGTTAATTGAGCAAAGCAGGATATATGTTTTTCTCAGATTGTCCTTACACATGATACATAACCAAGACCTCACCGAAAGCTGGAGGGGAAAGTTATTGCATTTGAGGGAAAATTATATGCTCTCTGAAACTGTTTGCAGTTGTAGTGATTTCCTTGAGACATGCAAAAATGTACTAGGTATTCATTTTGACTGAGCTCACTGTATAACTTCATTTTTTAAAAACAAGAGTAAAACCCAGACAAACACATCAGTATGACCACAGTGTTTTCCTTTCATTTGAGTTCTCTGCAGATTTTCTTAACAGACAAAGTTAGTCTTTATGAAGAGTACTAAAATAAGCAAACCCTTCCCTTCTGATCTCATAATATTGGAAGAATCTTTTATAATCCTTAAATATTTTCCTAGTTCAATATAAATCTTACAATGAAGCTCACTTAGGCATTGAATAGAATTTGAATCATGCCTTTATTTGCTGCCTGAAATTTGCCTTTCGATTTCTGTTTATGTTAAGGAAATATCACTACCCCCATGACACACAAACCAGCACTAGTATTTATTTTTAAAATAAAAGAATTGAATGAATGAAGTAAAGTACTTCCTTATAGAGCCTATATGGTTTTGTGGCCTTCTCATTATTTTTCACTGAAATTTTGTGTATGCTTATACAGTATATATATATATATATATATATAGTGTGTCCAGAATATTCTTTTATTTTTAATTTTGAGGGTGTTACTTTAAAACTTGAAGGAAATTGAGGACAGGAAGTTTGTTTTTTTTCCCCCTAAAATATTCTTTTCTGAAAATAAGAACAGCTTTAAATGTAATATAATGTGCCTCAGAGAATCCCCATAGTATTAGGTTGTCAGGAAAGTCTTGATGCATTTTTGCATAGGAAAACACAGAAAAATGTGTCATGACTTTCCCAATGATCTAATAGACTCAACAGATATTTATTTACTGAGTACTTCCCATATGTATTCATCTCATTCTGCATATTTGCCCTGGTAAGTCTCATCCACTTTATTTTAACAACTTCTATTCTCTGGTTCTAACCTCTTTGATCAGCACCAGATATGTATTTCTAAATTGACTAATTACCTATTTATCTGTGAGTACATCAAGTACAATTACCCTATAACCGGGGAAATAGCATTTGAATTAGGTCTTGAGTGTGATTTTGGTGGGGTTGGGGTGAGAGAGTAGGATATGGTCAACGCATTCCAAATAGGAGGGAAATGGTTCTGAGATAGTGAAGTGTCTGACCATATTCTAGGTACTATGATCTCTACTGTCCCTTGCAGTTCCATAAAAATGTTATGTGCCGTGTTTCTTTGTACTGTGGTAAAATATACACAAAATGAAATTGACCATTTTCAACACTTTTAAGTGAACAGTTCTGTGGCATTGAATACATTCACATTGTTGTGCAACCTTCACCACCGTCTAATCTCCAGAACATTTTCATCGATTGAAACTATGCCATTAAACATTAGTTCCCCATTTCTCTCTACTCACAGTCCTTGGAAACTGCCACTCTGCTTTCTGCCTCAATAAATTTGACTGCTCTAGGAATCTCATATAAGTGGAATTCAACAATATTTGTCCTTTCGTGACTTTGTTTCAATTATACTTGCTGGTTTATGTGGTCGGTGTTATTACTGGCTGTCAGATTAACCGATCTTCCCACATAATTCAACATGTATAGAGTACAGATAACACTCTCTAAAATACATATAATGGGAGTTTTAAATGTATTTTTTTATAAGCAAATGAATTTCAAGTTCCACAGTAGCATTTCTCTTCCCTTTGACCAAGTGTCTCCTTTTGTGGCATTCAGTTGGGGTTCTAAGGCCTCAGGAGATGGCAGAGTTGATACTTCAAACACCAGTTATTTGTTAACACTAGGTTCCAACTTCTTCCCAGTAACTAGTACAACACTATAACAGTTTCTCTTTAGAATTTCTGAATTTGGGAATACTTTCCTAACCTCTCACTGGCCACCCATGTTGATGCAGGACTCCAAACTTATTCCTCCAAACCATTTCTCAAATGTGTGGATCCTTTTATAAGTAGAGAAAGGGAGTTTTTCCTTTAGGGACTTCCTGCGCTTCCGTGTGCTGGGTTTATGGTTATGGTTTATGGTCACTTGGTTCTTTTGGAATTACAAACCAGTATGTAGATACCATCTGAGCCTCCTAAATTATTTTAAAAGCAAACGAAACACACTTGTTTGCATTCTTCATCACTAAGGGTGTTTTGTTTTGTTTTGTTTTGTTTTGTTTTGTTTTGTTTTGTTTTTACCAGAAATCAAAAGTAGAAGTTGTCATCTTTCAAAATAATATGGCATCTATTTTTTGGCCTTATTTTGTTTGTGATTGGTGTTTTCATTGAGCCATTGAGACCTGCCATGGTGAAGGAACTAGAAAGAAGAGCCTCTGTGAGAAGATTCCTTGAGCAGGAAGGAGCCCTACCAGCCTGCCTAGACAGGCCTTGCTTCAAGCCCAAGCCTGCCTAGCAATCTTCCAAAAGTCCAGACATAGGATCATCCTCCAGGTAGACTTATTACTAGAAGTGGAAATCAAAAGGACCATCCTCCAGGTAGACTTATTGCTAGAAGTAGAAATCAAAAGGAGACAGCCAGAAAAATAATCAGGTAGCTCCGGTCCCCTGCCTGTCTCAGAGGAGTTCTAGTTCTACTGAACAGCTTGCTTGCTGGTAGGAAGCCTAATTTTCAGATCTGGAAGTTGCTTAGTCATGACTCAGCAGTATGTACTGCTTTGTAAAGTCACATTTCAAAACTATGAATACTTTTAGTGACAGTTGTTAAGTTCCTGTTTTGAATTGGTATGAACAAAAAGGTACATGTTGTTTTTTAAATTGGTAACCAGGTGCTTTTTTCATTCATGCACAACTGCAAAACAGACATATTCTATAAGATCTTTTTATTTTAAATGTCAGGTAAATGGGAAGCTTTCTGAATATATATGGTAGAGTACATTGCTTGTTAGAAACCTGCGGCAAAAGAAAAAATGCTTAAGTTATGCAGTGTTAGAAGAACCACTGTTTTCTTCTCTTGAAAAAAAAATAGAGATGCATTCACATTTATAATCTTTGGTTTCTGAGCGCCTAATTTCTATACATAAATACAGGTTACACGAACCATTTCTGAGAATCCTCCTCCCACCTAACTGTTGTAGGAGTGTATTTTCTGTCTTTTATGCTGTAGACACTGCTGCTAACAGAGACGCTCAACTCTTTTTTCTTGGTTCAAGCCGGCCTGCTGCAGCAGTACAGAGTAGATCTCAAGATTAGTGTGGAGTGGACAAGGTGGAAGAACACTGTTCATTTCTTCTTCTTATACAGCCTACATAGTCAGCATTGAGAAAGGAAAATCCTTTTGTATTGATTGAACTGAGCCCACCGTCCCCAGTCCCTAATAGGCCACACTTCATTCACCACACTACTGTGTCAGCTCAGCCCTGATTCTCCAGTCCTCCACCATCCCCTAAGCACTCATGTCTCTGGAGTCCATTCTCTGTCTGGATAAAGTTGCAGCCCCATGAATGCTTGGGTATTTTAAATTGAACTCCTGAATCCTTCCCTGGGATTTTACGGTTTAAAACCAAACGGCAGTAGCTTGAGAATCTTCATTCCACAGCTGGGACAGTAAAGGTGAGAAATGTGTTTCTGGCATCCCAAGTTGAACCACAGCACTGAATATGTATTTCCTCTAGAAAAAGTGTTAAGGTACAAATAATTGTTTCTCTGGTACTCGTCATGCTATACTGCAGATACATTTGTGTTAAATTGTCTTTTGGGGGCACTATCCCAGAAACTTAGACACTATGTTTACGGGAAAAATGCTTGCTTTCAAAATTCTAAACATCTTATTTAAAAATGAACTTTTGGAACACAGTCCATTCACATCTTGGCTGCTGTCAGTACAATAAAATCAACTGTTCCCCTTCCAGTCAACTCTGTGGTCCCACGATAATTCAGAGAACACCACTCATGAAATGGTATGGTGAGAGAGATGTCCCTAATATTTTTAACTATAACGAAAAAAGGGGAGGAGGATTAGTGGTTTATCCAATATTTAATTGATCGAACTGAATGGTGTGTGTATACCTATTTAAGAATTCATAGACATTTATTACCTCCCTATAAGATCCATTTCCTTTGTTCAGCTCACAGTGAGGTTAATTCCACCTGGATCAATCATTTGACTTTTAAGCTATATATTCTCTTTTTCTTCCATTTACATCAGAGGAAAAATAAACAAAAATGCCCATTAATCATGGCTGATGAAAGTTGTAAAGTACGTTAAGATAAACGAAAGCCAAAATTGAAATAAGGCAAAATGTCAAGTGTCTTCAAACTCTAAAAGTGCATTCAAATGCACAGAAAGCATTTAAACTGTCCCCAAGTCTCCATTTACCTCCTCATTCTTTACCTTTTCCTTTCAATTTTATAATTCAAGGTAATAACTTGAAGCTATGGTTTATTTTGGGTTCCTATAAAGATTACTAATAGTTCCCCAATTACAATACTTCTGTTTAACTATACCATAAGCTCAATAGGTTTGGCAAGAGTCTAGGCTCAGGAACTTCACTTACGTTTATGATGTTCCGTGGAAAGCAAAATATTCTAGGTTCCAAGCAACCACTTTTTAAACCTGTATTTTAGAATCAACATGTTATTTTGACTCAGGTTTGTGATTATTAAAATGTTTCATGGCTTTACAGGGTTCAAAATTGTGGATAATAATGGAATACCTGGGTGGCGGTTTAG